TTTTATTTCAATGTTTTGATGTCTCAGCCATTCTGCATGGAAATTAGGTGTAAAAGTTTTATGTTGTATTCCTTGGCTTCACTTTTTCATTTATCTCATCATCATTTTTTCCCCTCCTGACAGATAGGTTTTCTTTGATGCTATCAGAAATACCACATGACCTGGATAATCACTCATGGACATCTGGCATATTGACACTGTCACTTGTTCAAATAAACTCTCAAGAAATAACTTACTGTAGCCAACAAAATTATAACAATTAGCTTGCTCCCTTCTTGCTAGAATTAGTATGTTCTCTGGGGGGGGCCTAAAAATGGAGCCTAAACTTTCATCTCTTTAGTCTTATTCTCCGTTTCAAACAAATGAAAGGTTTTGAGGTTTTTGCCTCGAACGGGCAAAAATCAAACATACAAATGGGGGTTTTCCCACATAAATATATTTTGCATCAGTTTTGATTTCTTAAAAATCAAGTTTGATTTCTTAAACACAAAATATGTGTTTATCATCTCCAGTTCATTAGGAGTGTGAACTAAGAAATATTTATAGTATTTCTGAGTATTCCAGTGAAATCTTATGAAATAGATTCTTTTTTCAAAGGGATAAGAAATGTGATAAAAACCTGATGTAATACTAACCAAGAATTACTTGTCTCAAAGCCAAAAGGAAGGACTAATCAGAAAACTCAGCTGAAAAATACTTCCGGGCTTTTTTTGTGAACCATATGTGCGGTTTTGTTTTAATTTTTTTCATTCCGGGGGAAGAACTCTGCTGTCACTCTGTGTTATAACTTGGGTTTTCTTTGTCTGTAGTGCCAGGACCAAATTCCACCAGTGACAATGGCATCAGCTTTGCCATGATAATAATGGCCTGGGTGGTGATTGCACTTGTCTTGTTCTTACTGAGACCTAGTAATCTGAGAGGACCCAACACAGCCGGAAAGCCAACCAGCCCACAGAATGTAAGTGCATCTCCAAATGCCCTGCACAGAGACTCTACAATAGCTTAACTGTATCTTGTTTTATCACAGACTATTTTAAAGTCAAGTTTTCCTTACTTTTTTCCCCCCCCCTGTATTTTCTTGGAACTCCATTAACAATGAAAATGAGTAAAACCAAACTGAAAGTAGTAGAATCATGAAGGCCAAGTGAGGCCTGCCATGGGATAGAGCAGGTACAGGTGACTAAGTGTGGGTCATAATGTCCTCTGGACACTGGCTGTCCCTGGCTGGAACTGCCTTCTGCTTTCGTATGTAGAAGGGGAAAATCACAACCTTAAGAGAAGTCAGTAAACAGAATTACAGCATGAGACTGGGAAGGTTGTCTTTGTCCTAGGTGTGGGATCATGGGAAAACCCCTGTTAATGCAGGAAACAATATTTTTTTTTATGATCATTTACTCAGAATATCAAAAGGGATATTGAAAGGTCTTAAAGGAAAGTGTAATATAACTCTTCCAAGTTCTTTTATTGCTGAATTATTTTGGGTGAAGCACTGTTTCTAATCCTGTACATGTTTTCTTTCTTTCTTTTCCTCCTTCCTTCCCTAGGGACAAGAACCACCAGCCCCACCAGTGGACTAGAGCATTCAATATTGGAAAAGTTCAGTAGCTAAAACCTTGCACGACCAAATGGACAAAGTGACCAGATTACTCCTAAACCCCATTCAATACTGTTTTCTTTTCTCATTTATATAGAGCAGAATTACCATTCAGCAGTTATCTTAATGAACTGCTTTTAGCAACTTCAATTTTAAGTTTATGTTATTACAATTCCTAGTAGATTGTAATTTGAATAATGGTAAGGCATTGCAGGGGTTTTTTGGTTGTTGCTGTTACTGTGGACATTCCGCTGAGTCTCTTTCTGTTACAATGATCTTAATTTCTTTGCAGTGATTTCTGATATGCATTGAAAGAAAAGAAAAAAAAAATCCCTGTGCATCTATGATAATGGAAGGTTACTGACCTTTCTTCAGATTAACCCATATTTTTTCTCCAGTATGCTTTTGAGAGTTCTACTATGGTTGCAACTATGAGCTTAGTTATGTGGTGAAAAATTGAAATGATTTTATATTTGCCCTGGGTTCAGAGCAGCTTTTAGTCTGGTCTTTGGACCACTAACATAGTTTTCAGGGTTGTTGGCAGAAGCATGGATTGTCCACTAGAATTATACTCTGTGTGTGTGTGTGTGTGTGTGTGTGTGTGTGCGCACACAGAAGTGAATGTGATAATTGCCACTGTCAAAGCTTTGACACATATATTGGAAACTTTACACAAAAGATTTTACCACCAAAAAAGAAATTAATTTAATCTTGTTCATTAATAAATGATATATGTTATTCAATATGTTGTCAAAAAAAATAATACATATATTCCAAAAAGAGATTTGTTTACTTATAGACTTTATGAAAGAAAATGTAGTGAGAAGAACTTAGTAGAATTTTCTGTCCTGGTATAGTCTTTTAATAATAATTGGTATCTTAACAAGTTTTTAGCCATGATGTAAGGTATATTGGACAGAATGAAATAATACCAAGAGGATACCAAGGTTACCAACTTCTGGTATACAGCATATACTGGATATTCAGGTTTTTTCACTTGTATGTTATCAGCAATTCTTAACATTTCATCCTTATCTGCTGGTTGTACTTGTAGAATAACAAACTTGCAGGTGACTAGATATGGCATGTCTTTTCCCTATTTGTGTGTATGTGTGGGGTGTTTGTGTGTGCGTATGTGTGGCTGTGCACATACCTGTGCACATCTCCCATTGTGGCAAATGGGAATGACTTTTTTATGTACATTAACTTAAGAATATTTTAAAGATGTACAGAAAACCAAGACTGTATATTTTTCTTGATCAATTTGAAAAATTGATGGGAATAATTGTAAAGAACATTTTTATGTTACCAACATGAAGCTTCTTTCCATAAAGGTCAGTAGAACAAACATATGGGAATTCAAAGCCTTACCCTACAAACCTTTATTTCATGAGGACTTTAGTTATGGAGCTGAAGGGACTCACTGTTCAGATGCACAAAGGTTTGTATGAGTGGGCTCTAACAAAAATCTCACATCAGATCCCATGGTTGACAGGCGCAGGGTTTTCCTCCTCAGGGTAAATGGCAGGCAAGCCTCCTTGTAAAGGTACAGCATAGACCTGAAGAAAGGCTTCTGTAATTTGACGGAACTGCCCTTTGAATCTCTGCGGAATAGTGTGCTCCTGAGCACAGGGGCACACGTAAAAAAAAGTTAAACAAAGAAGATTGGGCGGATGCTCTCAGTGAAATCAGTGCAGTGCCATGTACAGCAGTGGGGCTGCAGCAGAGACACTGAGAGAATTTGTCCTGTTATGTCTAATGGTGTACAGGCCACAGACACTGTGTAAAGATGTCACTGGGACAAGCAGTCTGACTGTGCTTGCTTTTTGCCTTCTGTGTGTGTTTATGTTTGGGATACTGTTTGGAACAGAACAATTAATACAGCATCATTTTGTTGACCCAACAAGGAAATATATATAATCTCCTACACTGACCTTTTCTCCAAGGATTTTTGGCCAGAATTCTTCAGTATCAGAAGCATAAAACAGGCTTCCAGTTGATTAAAAAGTCAACTGAAACAGGCTTTATTTCAGACAGTGTCACTCCTCATCCTATTGGAAGTTGGTGAGATTCATGGCAGATCAGTCTCACTTTACTTAACTGTCTGTGTATGTATTTATAAAACTCACCATGTACACCCGGCAGAAACAGTCTTTGATAAATGAACTTTTTGTTCAGAGCAGTTTTGTGTTTTACATCTAAATGAACTGTCTTTGCTTGAAATTCCTCAAAGTAATTGTCCCAGTGATTTTATACATATATGCTTTCCTCATGTAAATTCCTATTTTAAATTTTCTATGTAAAAGAAAAAACATTGGAAATATTTTATTGTAAAATGTTTTACTAAAGAGCCAGGCCACTATCCCACGTCAAAATGAATGCCTTTTAAATTCAGATACTCTCCCCAGTGTATAACCTTCGGATCACCACTCTTAATTAAAACAAAAGTAACTAATTGTAGGACTGTATTTTGCCACTCTTATTCGTGTTAAATAGTGCCTTACTCATCAAGTAGTTGCACTGAAGTTTGTGCGACTACTCTGAGATAATGTACTAGTAGCAGCTTTAATAAGGGTGGCAGAAATCTGGCCTCTAGTGATGTAGTTTGCAGTTAAATAATTGTATCATGGTTACAGATGTTAATGGTAAATTTTGAGAAGTGTGGAAGAGATTAGTGGCATATGAAGCTTCAGGATATGATTAATTCTGTAATGAGGGTTTTAAGTTTGCTTAGTAAGAGATGCAAGTTGTAGCAACTTGGGAAATATGGAGGGAAGTTTACAATTATACCTTAGCTTAGAACTCTGTTAAAACAATAGTATTTTTAGAGTCTGCTTAACACAATTATTATACTCTGAAATGAAAAATCGTATGTATCCATGTCTTGTCTGCAGATCACTTAGCCTTGTAATGCTCATGATTGAAAAAGGAAGAGTGATGATGTGATGTACCTAATGTAAATCGGTGGTTTAAAATGTCTGAATCATGCCAAACAAAAAATCATCTGTGCCATTTGCGGTTTCCTAGTAATCTTTTACTGAGTACTTGGATTGGGATAAAGGGCTTGTACTATGCACTTTTTATTGACCTAACAAAATAAATAGCAATCATTAGTAACCTTTTGTCTTTGTCTCTAAGTCTTTGTGTAAGATGCTGCTTCCTCACTGTTCCCACTCTTCCTTCAGCAGCAGAGCATGAAATGCTGAGCACTGCCCCAGCAGCAGCTCAGATCACACATTAGGGATTCCTGTGTTAATCCAAGGAAAAGGATGAAAGCACAAGGGAAACTTTAGGGTTTCAAATAATATACACCTGTTTAAAGATAGCAGTAATAAATACCAGAGAATCAGAAACAAAATCTGAATTTATTTTTAGTAATAATAATAAAGCATAATAACAAATGAGTCAACTTAGAAACTGTATTATCTTAATCAGAGATCATGAATGTCTGCTCATCAAGATTTACCCTTTTACTCAAATATTAACCCCTAAAGCTAAACTTTACTTACAAGCACACTTGTTAAAATGTTTGTCAAGAATACACACGCCTATTCTGAAAAGTGATGCAGAAAGGAAATTGCCACAAGTCCAAATTAACTGTATTGACTGGATCTGCATGAGGCCTAGCAGTTCAAGATCACCAGATCAGGTAGGTAGTGATTACTGTGCCCCAAAACCTGAAAAACAAAAAAAAGTATTTTATCTAAGATGTTTGGGAAAAATACATCAAATCATTGCAGCAAAACATTCCATGAACATTAAGTGGGTTCCCTGTGAAAATGGACAACTTGAATTCTTTTCTCCTGTTAACCCTTACTTGTTCAGTACCAGCCACCAGCCTACAGTGCAATTCACTGCAAAGAGGTGGGCCTTGGAGTGGGGAAAGAGGTGGGATGAACCACATCCTCCCTTGTACAACAGCATGACTCTTACTGGCTTCCAGGGATTTACACTCATCAACATCAACTGAAAATTTGTTTCTTCTCATACAAGAAAAGCAACTGACCCCGTGTTACTTGATCTTGTATCAAAATTATTGCCAACTCCCATAGCAGGAACTTTGAAGTTAAATATAATAACTAGAAGAATCTGGCTTCTGCATTACCTTTTTAATATCCATGGATAAGAGTGTTGGTGAAAGGTGGTATCTGAAACAAACTCATTTCAGTGCATGGCAATAAATATTAATTCACCATATACATACAGCTTTTTAAAAGTTTCACTTGTTTGCATGGAAAGTGATATTATAAATATTTTACACCATGGTAATTGAAAATACAGCAGTAATTTCTAATCAAAGGTCACAAGTAACAAGCTTTAAAATAAAAAGTTTTGCATTTATGTGTTTTGTTATTATGTCCTCTAGGCTATAAATGATGAAACAGAAGAATAATTTCTGTGACTATGTAGTTTTCAGATTTACACCTGTTTAAAAATTGTTGAAGATTATTAATTTCTTCTGGTTCAAATAATACTCTTAAAATGGAAGAGAAGCTATTAGAGCCGAGAAAACACGTTTCCTAAGCTGACCAACAAAAACTCTCACAACTGTACCACATTTGGAAGGTCACAGCCATTGCTTCAATATAAAAAGCAAACCTCAGAAAAGGTGTAGGAGGTCAGTTTGGAGCAAAACTTGTAGATGAAATAAATGATAATACGATTAGCAAGAAAATGATCCATAGAAGCCCTCACAGGACTGGACACTACATCAAGCACTGCATGAAACACATCAAAATCTGCTTTGTTGTTGTGGTGAGGGTGAGTAAAATCTGGTTCCTTCACTTCTCCTAGTGATTTTCCACAGCCTTGTTTTCCATCCTCAGTTTTATATGGGTGAAATTGAAAATCCAAATAATAATTTCCCCCCCTGCATCAAATATTAGCTTGCTATTTGAATTGCAGGTCTATCTTGTCTCTGACACCCCTTCTGGCTCTACACTTCTGTTGGGTTTCAGTATGTAGGGGGGAAGAGATTACGCCAAATTTGCTTTATAACAGTGGATCAAATCCTCACCTTATTTTATGTGAGCAACTGTGAAGGCAATGAGACAGCTCAGCTGAGTGAAGCCCTTCAAAGAAGTCATGCTGCAAGGCGATTTCTCTCCAGTAGGGCTGTGATAAAAAGCAGTGTCTTATCTGGCTGTTCTTCCTTCCATTCCATGAGTTTTAGTATTTAAGGCTTCCTTATTGTTTTATTGAAATGGCTGTTATGCCTGAAATGGCTCTCCTGTTGGGAGATTTAGCATGGTCTTTGTTCAGAAAAGCAATGCTGTTGCCCACAGCACTGCTTCTGAAGGAACAGCTTTGATGTCTGGTGTGATGTGTGTGGTTTCCAGAAGAACGTCAGAACAGGAGGAAAAAAACGAAAAAAATAAAAAGGTATTTACTAAACAATAGATAAGGCTGTCAAATGTAATCATGCCTGGGGGGGAGTGTGAATAATTTCTGTGTATTCTGAGAGACTTAAATAATCTAATTAGAGGAAGGTCATATACCAGAAAACAAAACATTGATGTTCAGGAACTGAAAGAATGGACAATCTCCTCAGAGTTTCAGGGTGGCCTTCCTCTGATTTTTAAACATTGTTTTAATCCTGTGTGGCTTTTGGTTTTTATTTATATTGCAGTATTGTCCACAAGTTCATCTGAAATTATTGTCCAGATGTTCTGGGCCCTATAAAAACAGGCACATTGACCCTGAGCAGAAACCACTGTGACTGGGACAAATTTAGCCAATAATTGCAGTTTGGGGTGCTGATTGTCAGTTAACAAAATATTGTATCAGATTAATCACAAGTTGTTTGGGCAAGCTGTCAGATCAAACAGCAAAGTCAGAGTTCTGGTGAGCTGGAGATGTGGAGGTAAGTAGGAACGCACCAGGTGGAAAATGCCTCTTGTAACAACTCGTAATGTTGGCTCTGCGCAGTTAACTGTTATGGTTGGCTCTGAGCTCAGCCACTTGGCTGCCTGTGTCCAAGCCTGGTGCACAACCTGCTTTTTGCAGCTGTTGGAGCCTTTTCCAGAGGAACATGCATGCCCAGTCCCACATGTCCCTGTGTACTCTCTTTAGCTGGGTCTCCTTCCTTCCTCTTAGCACTGTAGAAAAAAAAACACAAACAAAGCATGGATTCAAATACTGATCTAACTGGTCTGTGGGCAAGTCTTCTGGATGCTTTTCTGCCTCAGCCTGGGCCCGCTGCCAAGTAGCTCAGATTTCCCTGTTACACATGGGGTTGCCTCTTGGTTGTGCTGTGTCTAACGTTAGAGGGCTTAACAACAGTGGTTGTTGAATCTGTGTGAGATGTCAGTGTCACAAACTGATTAGACAAATACGGCTACCTTTAGTTAATGATCAGCTAAATCTGGTGGGGGATTAGTCTGACATTAAACACTCCCTAGACATGATACAAAACTTCTTTCATATCCAGTGTTCTTGCTGGCTTCTCCTCTCATCTCCAACATCAGGCTGCCAGCCAGGAGATTACACAACCATGCACTCACTTGCTCTTTCTTTTCTTCCCTCACATTCCCCTCATCCCCCAAATCCTTCATAAATGATTTCTCTCTTGCATAATAGAACAGCTTGCACACAGGAGGTGAAGAGTGCCCCCTCCACCCAACTGTGGCATTCAGATTGCCCTTTGCTCTGTGGTTTCTTAAAAGGCAGAGATGTGGCCTTGAGCCCACTCCTCTATTTGCCACAGAGAGGAGAACACAGGATCCAATCTCACACTGGTACATGCTCTAGGCCTTTGAGACATGATATTAAAAAGACATTACCACTTCCCTTGGCCAAGATTTTTGAATGAAGCAGCCTTAAATGTTTTGACTGCATGCTGCTTGATCCTGCGGGTGTTAGCCCTTGCCTGAGCACACACTAAAGGCCAGGTTGAGTGACAGCATATAGCAAAGGAATTGCTCTTTTTCAGGGTCAGATCAAATTTAGATATGAGGCAGACAATGGAACTGCTCAGATTAGACCTCAGTACCTTTAGGTACCTAAGGAAATGTATTGTCAAACTAACACTCCTTTTGGAGTCTGTTCCCTAACACTAGCGTATTGACTAGCTTATTGCCTCTGTCCTATGTGTATCTGTAGCCAAAAATTTACAAATATCTCTAAAATGCCTATTCTCCTCAAGCAGGTCTGTACAAATTATGATAATCACCTTTCTTGGACATGGATGCTTCCATGAATTACAGTTCAGGCTATTTAATATAAGGGTCTGGAAAGATGATCTCCTAGTAGGATGCATAGTTAAGCAGCAGTCTAGGAAGTATAGGTTACTTACAGTTAAGTCATTATGCAAATTACAATCTTGAAAATGTAAAAATCCAGATGAATGGAGCAGTGACTCATCAGTCAGCCCTACCAGCAGCTCTGGCAATTTTCATTCCAAAATAACACCCATAGGAACTCACCTGAGAATAAATGAACAGGGAGGTGAACTCTCTGTGGAAAGGAGAAAAGGCTTCTGACACAGTCTGCAATATACAAGACTTGGAGAGTGGCAATCCTTCATTGGTACTGTTCTTTAGCGGAATGGGCACCCTGCTAAGATTCCTTTCAGCAACCAGTTAAGGGGGTATTTAGTAAAAATCTTTCATAAATACACAATAAGATCACAAATTATAAAGCCAAACTGGATTATTCTGAACATCTCCTTTGACATCCATAGGATTTGCATCAATTATTTAATTTTTGTGCTAGAAAATATGTTCGAAAAACTTTCCAGAGATGGACCATCTCTAAATCATTTCAGTGGTTACTTACCTGCACTTTGAGAAAACAACTCTCTTGAATCTGAAAATGTCAAGCTTCAGTTTTTATACATTATGTTTTGCTAATGTGAAGGATTATTAATTTTCTGTCATTGCAAGAAATGAGCATTGTAAAACTTCATTTTACTCACCCGATGTTTAGGCATTGCTTCCCAGCAAGGAATTTATAGCCCCAGATTAGATACACAGTGGGAAGGAAAGGCTGTCTCCAAGTGAGGTCCAGGCTACCTGGAAGGGGGATCCATCTGACCTAGTGAACAAGCAGTGCTAAAGAAAAGTATACACCTGAAATCCCATTCCTGTTGTTATTGAAGTTACTGATCCTGCACTGCAAAAGGATGAACAGCCTACACTGAGCCTTCAGAAAATGGAGCATAACTCTCACTTTTATTTATAAATGTGGCCAGCAGTGGACTGGCTTCATCTGCCTTGTAGCAGCCCATGGCTGTGCTTCCCAAGCAGCATGCTTTAGGAGGTTCAATACCATGCCCTGAAGCCTTACATAGGCTCTATAGTATTTGCAACGTGTTGTAAAAATTCTGCATACTGAGAAACAATGGGTCTGCCTGAACAGGCAAATAAATAAACTCCCACCCAGTAATTCTGATTTTATTCTGAAATAAGAGAGGAGACCCAAGCTCCCTGCCTTTCTCACTGCAGCAACTTTGAGCTGTGCATTTTTCCCCTGCCAGCACTGCCCTCGCAACCAGGGTGTAGGCTTTTACTAAAAGAAGCCCTCATCATTCTTTCTGGGGAAGTTGTGCCATTCTGCAGGATGGAATTTGAGATTCACTTCCTAGGCAGGAAGTGTGATAATTGCATTCTACCAGTGAAGGCCCTGTGCTAAGAGAAAAGAGACTGAGGTATGTTCCCACCTCCAAGGGCTCTTCAGGCATTTGTAACAGCTCTCAAACCATAGACCGCAACTCAGACCCTTCTCCTCCCAGGAAAAGGCCATGATAACCACACCCAAAAAGTATTCCCTTTCAGGCTCCTTGGCAAGCTAGCATGGTTGCAGGTGGAGAATTAGATCTCCATGTTTCCTTATAACCCACCAGCTGCAGCACTTTAGACACACATAGAGAATAATAGAATAGTTTGGGTTGGAAAGGACCTTAAGATCATCTAGTTCCAAACCCCCTGCCATGGGCAAGGACACCTCACACTAAAATATATGCCTGAACTCTCTGAGCCAAGGAAGACTCTGAAGCTGCTGCCCTCATTCTTAGCAAAGGCAGTAACTAGGAGGTATTGGTGCACTCCAATGAACTACTAACTACCCACACAACCAGCAATATGCAAAGGGAACTCTTCCTCACAAACGTGCCTTTGCACACAGCCACCACCATTTCCTTTAGAAAATCCACTTCTTGTTTGTCAGGCACACACACCATTATCAACACCCTTAGGGGACCACATAAAGGATCTGAGGTGGATTTGGCCTTACCAAGATAGGAACAGGCACGTACAGAGGGACTGGAGAAGTTCTCAGGAGTACCTGTGTATGCATTTATGGCTACTCTGAGTCCTAAGGAGATAGACAGGGGTTTGAGGATGACGGCATATGATGATGATGGCCATCAAGACTGACTTGGTAGTGACAGCTCACCGAGCTTCCATCTGCTTTGCCTAGGCTTTCCTGGAAAAAAAATGATGTGCTCAAAACTGAGACATCTGTGCAAATTAGCAGTGAAACAAGGAGCTACTTGTTTTTACTTCAGGATAAACATGGTGAACCCTGCACTTTGGCCAGGCAGCTCTTTGGCTAACCACACTGACTCTGCTGGGATCCTGCACTGGGACTGCAAACCTCAGTAGGCTCTTTCAGTAGAAACACACATATTTTACAGTACCATTTCTAAAGGGCCAGTGAGTTATACCATGTACTCACTCAAATAGGCACTGATTAGGGAATGGGCAGATCCTCTGGAGTAAAATGATAACAAAGTAAAATATAAAACAGAAATAATGACTCCTTTTTCTATATTCATATATATGTACCCTTTTTCTATATTTTTATATATATATATATATATATATACACACCCTTTAACATCTATGGACAAAAATGCCCTGCCAGAACAAGGCAATACTTTATTCACATTATTAACAAGGACATACATATATTACTCACCTAATTTGGCAACATTTAACATTTCTATTCAACATAGAAATTCTAATCTGTTTAAAGCATAAATGACTACGGTATTGCAGATACTGGAAAACCCCCTCCAGCTTCTAGGAGATGATGCACTGTAAGTGAACTTGAATACACTGGAAAAGACAAGATGGCAGATTTTTCACAATCTTTCTGCTACTAAAGTCAACTAAGTATACCAATAACAGAGAACATTGATACCAAAGACAACAGTAGTATCTTAGAACTTTAACACAATTAGGCAAGAGATCCTGGGCAGTGCCCAGCTCAGAAGGGCAAAAGAATGCAAGCTCATTCTATTTCCTTACTCTAGCAATGTTTGCTATCTGGACTTTAAACACTGTTTTACTGCTGCCTATCCATGTTTTCAGTTCACTTCTCTTTGCTGAGATGGCTCTACCCTACAGAAGAATGAACACCGAGTTTTGTGTTTCACAGTAAGCACAGCTGAAGGACTAACACTTCCTCTCATGCACATTCTACCACCAGAAGTCATTTCCCCATCAGAAGAGGGGAGCCATTCAGCGCAGCAGTCCTTCACCCCACGGGTGGCACTCGACCTCCTCTGGGAGCCCAGGCCATGCTAGAGCTGCCCGAGGCCACTGGCAGTGTTTCCACTGGGGCTCAGACTTGCTCCCCAACACCGCACCAACCCCACCACCACCAACCACTAGGGACAAGGGCAGCTGGGGACCCTTCCAGTGGCTCTTGGTGGCCTCTCCCACTAAGAAGCAGCAAGACCAGCCACCTCTCCAGCCCTCAGGACACAAAAAAGCCCCAGAGCGAGGGTAACGTGGCATAAAACCCCCAAAGTGACATATGGGGAAAGCGTGCACCGGGACACAGTCCACCCCGAGAGCGGCGAGCGCCCAAGAAGCGCTCCCTTCCCTTCCCTTCCCTTCCCTTCCCTTCCCTTCCCTTCCCTTCCCTTCCCTTCATCTGAGGGAAGCCTCCTCGGCGCGGCCGCCCCAGTCCCATCCCCGAAGCTAGGCCGCGGAGACCCCAGTCGGGCCCGGGGACCCTGCGGCCCCTCAACAGCCCGTGAGGTGGCGGGGCAGGGCCGGGCCTGCGCGGCCAGCGGCAGCGCCTGAGGTGTCCCGCGCCCATTGGCCGGCATTGCGGCGGGGCGGGGCGGGGCGGGGAGGCGGTGGGACGGCTAGGCTCCGCGCCAACCTCCTCCGCCCCCGGGGAAAGAGTGGGGCGGAGCCGGTCTCGCTCGGCGGCCCCGGGATGAAACAGCTGCCTCGGCCCCGCGGCGGCCCTTTAAATAGCTGCTGCTGCCGCTGCTGCTCCACTCGTAGCGGACCGTTGTCCTGAGCTCGCTGAGCATCCTCACCGCAGTCTCCCGCCAGATCCGCGGTGGCGGGGCAGAGCCGCTCCCGCCCACTGTAAGTGTCTGGGCTGCAGCTCCGGTGCCGCCCGCGGGTCCCTGCTCTGCCTTCACCGGGGGTTCCCGGGGCGGTGGCTGCCTTTCCCTCCAGCGGCCGCCTCCTCCTCAGCGTGGGGCCGGGTTGCGGCCGGGGGACTGCTCCGCGCTGCGGCCGGCAGGAACCTTTTGCTGGGCTCCCGAGATGGAGCCGGCGGGGGTCGGCCCCGGCCCGAGCCGCCTGGGAAGAGAGTGGGGTCGGCTGCTGCCTGTTTCTTTCACGAAGGAGGAGGCCGGAGCTGCGGTCTCCGCGCTGGCGACGCCTCTCCCAGCTGAGGGGCTCCGGGGACGGACTGGGAAGTAGGCCCGGTCCGGGGGTCCCGGCTTGGCGCGGCTCTGCACGCAACGGGGCACGCAGCTCCCCCACGCTGCGGCCTCGGCTTGTGCCTGGAGCTATCGCGGCATCGGTAACTCCCCGGCCCGAGGGGCGGTATTTGTGTTAGCAGGCTTCACAGCGACCGCAGAAAACGCTTCCTCAACGGTTTGTGTGTGCCAGCGCCCCTGGAGCGGGGCAGGCTCTGAAGCCTTCCCGGGTGGGAGAGAGTAACTGCAGCCCATGTCAAGAGATCAGCTGCGAGGAAGTGTTTTTCCCCGTGCCAGCACAATAAAATCGCCAATCATTAATTACCTGTTACTTCCTTGAATTTTTGGCCAGGATTTTCAAATCCTGATTCTCTTTTTTTCCTTCTTCTCTTAATAGAGTAATCATGTTTGACATTAAGAAGATTTGCTGCATTGGGGCTGGCTATGTTGGTGGCCCAACCTGTAGTGTGATTGCACAAATGTGCCCCAATATCAAAGTTACTGTTGTGGATGTCAATGAGGCCAGAATCAATGCCTGGAATTCGGATACGCTCCCCATCTATGAGGTAAACTTCCCTCACTGTTCTCTCTTCTTCCATCCAGTGTTGCATTTGCTTCCCTCTTCCCACCGCATGGCATTTCTACATGGCCCACCTCTGAATCTTTATAAGTATAGCACAGTGATGTCCTTCAAAAAGATTATTCTGGAACATTTGCTTGTTGCTACTGCTCACTAAATCAGATTTTGAAAATATCTTAATATGTCTGGTGCAGGCAGGTATTTAAGGATTATATATGAGGAGCTTACTAAGGAAAAATGTGTATACAGTGAACTGTGCTAAATCACACTGACTTTCTTTCAGAACCCAGTTTAGTCATAGCCTAGTTCTCTTACTTAGTTTCAGATGTTATTTGCTGTGTTGTAGCACTATATGAATGTGTAATGCTGAGTGGTGAGCTTTATTCCAATCCTGAATACTGCCAAAAGCCAATTGGTGCTGCCCATCTTAACCCTATTATAAGATGGGAACGGTCATGTTCCTGATTCACTTGTGCTGTAAAACCTTCCATCTGGTCCTGGAAGACTAGGCCAGGTAAAGATTACTTTAAGTTTATCACAGTGTCACTTCTTCATTACAGAATTACATCAATAAAGCATTTAAATAGATTTTCCTTCTTCAGAACTTGGTTTTTTACTCCTTTTCTTTTCACACTTAAAGAATAGGTCTCTTTCTTTCCTTAAATCTTTCATGAGATGCACAAAAGATTTCATTTTATACATTTGAGCTCTTTTCTTTAACAGGAGGGAAAGCTTACCTTCACTTGGCTCCAAAAAACAAGGCATGTTGCCTTGTACTTGGTTACTTTTTTGCTATAAGAAGTCTTTTGATTCCTGTCTGTGCTGTAACTCTAATGCAGTTTTTCTCTCTTCAAATAAAACCTGTGACTCTTTAAGTGAAGATGAATAGGCCTCCTTTGTCATTCATATTCAAAAGAAAATGTGTATAATGCTCAGATTAGCAGATGAGACATCAATAAAGATCATGAAAGCAAGTACATTGTTTTCTATAACTACTTAGACTGAATGAGCTAAGGTAGAGCTAGTCTTGGCATGTAAAAAAAAAAAAAGGCCAACAAGAAAAACCTACCTCACAACATCTGCTTCCTGGAATAGTGTCCTTTGCTTGCAAAGAATGTACAAAAACTGCCAAGAATTAGTTCAGGCAGTTATAAAATTGAGTCATTGCACAGTGAGGTTTTGGGGGGGGGGGGTGGGGTGGGTGGGATTTGTATTTTCTTTTTTTCTTTCCAGTGTTAGAAATTGTCTAATGGACTGCTTTTCTATTTACATCACAATGGTTGTTACAACCCATCAAATGTTATGTGTTATTCTGCCTGTGTTGACCTTTATTTTCCTTTTAAGTAGGCATTTGATATAAATGAGACAGCAAAAATTACTTGCACAAAAAAGCTTCTGCTTTGTTTTCCTCTTTCCAGTGAACCTTTGCCTTTCTGGCACTCGCTCAGATCTCTCATGTCATGATAAGCTACTCTCAAGGTGGAGATTTGATTGCCATGTTAGAGTGTATGACTTCATTTTTCAAACAAAACTAAAGGCTTCTTTTATCTATGACAACTATATCTTCATTAAATAATGTTGTAGGCCATTCTAACACAGAGGATTGATCATGTACACATGGACTCCTGCTCCTCTTGTCTGAGTGGAGGCCTTAAGAGAAGGGGAATTGTTATAGTACAGCATGTGTCACTGCAAAGAATCTCATCAAATCGTACCTGTGATTCTTCCACACTGCAGGTGTGGTATCATGATAAGTTCAATTTGGTTCAAAGATATGTGGCTGCCAGGGGTGGTCATTTCCTGTGTGTCTCCACTGCCTGCCTTTCAGTGGATCTGGGCTTGCTAATTTGGTGGCAGACCTCTTTATGGGTTTTTCATTAAATCAGTTTTAGATCTGATGTTGGGAAGATCATGGAATGTGTAGCTGAGAGAAAAAGAGTGTTGGAACCATCAATTTTCTTTGCAGCCTAAGGAATATTGTAAGACTTCTTGAGTTTAAACATTACAGGTATTTCTTTAATTGCTTCTCATGCTAATAGAATTGAGCATGGGAATAACTGAAGTCTAAAATCCAGTTGTGCAAGTAAAAATTCAGTGTGATGGAAAGCTTTTCAAGACGGTGTTTTGAGTATTTTGAATACAAAAGGGTTTTATTTATTTCACTATGCAAATCTACAGAAACTTTACATCTGGCAGGCTGAAAACATGCCATACTGAGGGAAAGTAAAAAGTCCTTCTGTATCTGAAATGTCGGTTTGGGCATGTGGTTTACTGTTCTTCTACCTTCATTAATCTTGACTGCCTTTTTTTTTTTTTTTTTTTCCAGCCAGGGTTAAAAGAAGTGGTAGAATCCTGTCGAGGAAGAAACCTCTTCTTTTCCACCAGTATTGATGATGCCATTAGAGAAGCTGATCTTGTATTTATTTCTGTAAGTTGAGGGGGAGAAGGTGGTTGTGTGTGGTGTGGTTGTCTTTTTTGTTCAGTGATTGTTTTTTTGTTTGCTTTTCTCTTATCAAATCATTGTTTCTATTACATTAGGAAGAGGCCTTTGTTTTGTCATGTAGATTCAGTTAGAAATGTATTGTGTCGCAGTTTTCTCCTTGTCTTTTTGGGTACTGTGGCAAAAGTGTTAAGTAACCTTATTTTCTTTTTGTGTTTTTTATAGCCAGTAGAACATCTAACAAAGAAACAGGCTCTAAATCAAAATGAAAATGTCGATAACTAGTTTGGTTAGATGTCTGGGGTCTTAGGGTAGAATATAGTGTGTATCTGTCTTTGCAGTGTACTACTGAAATCTATGGGACTTTCGTAATGATATGGTTCCCAGATAGGGATGTAAAGTCATCCTGATTATTTGGTTACAAAGACAACTTATTTCTAGAAGCTTTAAAGAAAAAAAAAGGGGGGGGGGGGCCTGGCTGGCTTTAATATTTTCTAGCTTTAATATTTCTAAGCTGCTGATACCACTTAGAGGATCCAGTCAAACATAAATAGTGTGATGTTTTGTAATCTAGACAGCTGTTCCTAATGCAGAATGCAAAAGGACTGCTTGCTATTCATCTTGGTAGGCCACAGTTCATTTTTTTTGTTACTTCAGTCATCTTCTCTTGAGAGCTCCTCTTTGTTAGGGCACCTCAGTACAGAGCTCTTTCTGATAGTAATTTTCTCCATTCATTAAGTCTAAAATGAATGCTACTTCTCTGGAGGATTGCCACTAATACAGCCCGTATATTGCCACCTGTCCTTGGCTTAAAGCATGCTGTTGTGTTTTGCATGTTGTTGCCATTTCTTTCAGTTTGTAATAAAAAGGACCCTCTGTCTTAATTTAAGTGATGTGTTTTCCCTCATGTTGCCTTTTCTGTTTACCTCAGCATAGCAATTTTCAGCAGCTCTACACTTAGTTTAAACCCACTTAGCAATGAAACCTGTAACTACTTCACTAGCTGCAAGATTGTGTATCATACTCCTAACATGGGACAGGAAACAAAAGGTGGCTGGCACTAATCATGAAAAAATTACTGGTGTTTCTAGAATAAGTTTCACTGAATCCTATGAAGGTTCTATGAATTGCTCTTGTTTAAACTCTATTTGAATAGAGGCCAGTGAGCTTGCTTTACATGACAAAATGGGTGATGGAGAAAGCCAATAGCTGTTCATCTGAATAAAGATTATGGGCTCGAAGCAAGCTGGACTCAGGGAAGGAAAATGTCTTTTTCATTATAACAATTGCACCTATTGTGTAAAATTTCTTCCCTCTCCATGTATTTGTAATTAGGTTAACACTCCAACAAAGACCTATGGCATGGGAAAAGGCCGAGCAGCTGACCTGAAATACATTGAAGCTTGTGCTAGACGAATTGTGCAAAATTCAAATGGCTATAAAATTGTCACTGAGAAAAGCACAGTTCCAGTACGTGCTGCAGAGAGCATTCGTAGAATATTTGATGCTAATACTAAGCCTAACTTAGATTTGCAGGTAAGTGTAATCTTTGAGTTTTATATTTAAAGGCTGGTTGTTGCTTTTGGCTGTTACCTGTTCTTTCTGTGCTCTAGGTGCTGTCTAACCCAGAGTTCCTTGCAGAAGGAACAGCCATCAAGGACCTGAAGAACCCAGATAGAGTGCTTATCGGTGGAGATGATTCTCCAGAGGGACAGAAAGCTGTCCGTGCTCTTTGTGCTGTTTATGAGCACTGGGTGCCCAAAGAAAAAATTCTCACAACCAATACGTGGTCATCAGAGCTTTCTAAACTGGTTAGTGTTATTTACCTCTGCTGTCTGCAATGAGCAATGGGTGTAAGCGAGACAAAGAAGACTCAGAGTGAGACTTAAGTTCACTGATGCTGAGTGATGCAGCTAGAAAAGACAAACATAATTGGGAGGACCCAGTATGTATGTCAAAGGATATTCATCTTTTCCAGTTATTTCAGCTGAGCTAACAGATGATATAAACTTTCCCTGAAATCCTTTTCTTACTTTTATTGCTATGTTATTTATTACTAAGAGTAAACTTTCAGTGCTCTGGAAACAGGTTACCATCATGAAAACAGGTTGAACTCTGCAAGTTAAAAACTACATTATTTTGCTTGGGTGCCATTAACTGGCATTTATGTATCAAAGTGCTTATGTTACCATTTTTGTATCTCAGCAGAGTTACAGAGTTAAAGTAATTCTTCCAGTAGTAACTCACTTAGGTCCATGGGCATCTTGATTTCTCAAAAAATCTAAGTTCTCCTCGTTATGTGTTTTATCTACAGGCAGCTAATGCTTTCCTTGCCCAAAGAATCAGCAGCATTAACTCAATCAGTGCTCTGTGTGAAGCAACAGGAGCAGATGTTGAAGAAGTAGCAAGAGCTATTGGAACAGACCAAAGAATTGGAAATAAGTTTCTCAAAGCCAGTGTTGGTAAATGAAAAATCTGGGGGTTGGGATTTTTTCCCTTCTGGACTTCTGTTTAACAGTGCAATAAGTCTACTAGAAGTGTTTTGAAGTAAGTGATCTGATACTCTAAAATCTTCTACAGAATGAAACTATTGCTGCAGAGTACTAGCATAAATCAGTTTTGCTGGTAGTATGTCTAGGACTGAGGTTGCTCTAGAAGCTGGCAGTCTGAAAGCTGAGAGTTCAGAGTGTATGGTTTATCCTGCCTGAGACTCTGGAAAGAAAAGCCACAACTTTATTTTTCTTAAGCATCACTGATGATAGTGCTCTCCAAAATGTCTTCCTGATTGTAACTGCTGCAGTCTTGTTCAGGAGTTGATGCCAGTGGCCTGAGGAAGAGGGTACCTCTAGGTCAGAGTGTGTGATGGCAACTCCTAATTTGTAGAATGAATTCAGTTGTTCAAATATACTAGAGGGTAAGATGTGATGAAGTTGTGATACATCAAACTTGCAAACTTATAGAATAAGACTAAAGCATGTCTATATGGCTACAGTCTACATGTTAAAAAGAATGTATGACTTTAACCTTATTAAATATAACCTCTCATAGAGCCTATGCAAGAGTGAAAAGCAGATAACAAAAAATTACCAAAATTCCTATTAGGTTACTATAATTTCTTTTACAACATGTTGCATCTGAGACTCTGCTGAGCAAAGTAAGGGGTCAAAGATCCCACTGTTAATTGTCTCAGTTGTCCCCTGGCTATAGTGATCTTTGTTTCTTGGCAGTGATTAGCTATCCATTTGGTGATGAGGGAGGAAAGAACTCTGATTAACATACTTGTTCTGAGAAATGTTAATCTAAATCTCTAAGTGGAGGGAGAGCAAAAACTTAGGAGCTTGTCTACCCACTTGTAATAACAAAAAACCTAGGGGCTACCATATGTTTCCATGAGACTGGGTTAAAACTTCCATTGACCTCAGTGCGACCTGAAGCAGATTTTAAGGCTTCTGTAACTGACTACATAAGTCTGGGAGCTGGATTTTGAGAGATACATAAGTTTTCATTTGCTAGAAGCAAAATACTTGGGGAAAAAACATAATGGTGACTATTTCTGGCTGCAAAAAAATTACTTGATTCCAGTGGCTGGTTTACAGTAGTACCTTAGTCACCTGTCAAATAACCATTTTCTCTTTCAGGGTTTGGAGGTAGCTGTTTTCAGAAGGATGTCTTGAATTTAGTATACCTCTGTGAGGCACTGAACTTACCTGAAGTAGCCCGCTACTGGCAACAGGTACAAGTTCTTCACCAATTTTTTGAGGGAGTTGTATTTCTTAAGCTTTCAGGTATCAAGCATTGAGCTTTTGAGCGTTGTTCACATGTAATCTGTGTTTCAGCTTTAAGGAATAGATATTGATCATCTGTACATTTTAGGGCCCTCAGCCTAACACTGGCATTTGATACTTGTTTGTGGGGGTTTTTTTATGAATTAAATTATCTGTATCAAATGGATTGGGAAGTTGTCTAGAAGTAGCAGTAGAAAATGTGAACCACAAGTATGCCTGGAGTCCAGTATTTCTCTTGTGCTTAGTTATTTCCATCTACTTTGAATTTAAAGCTTCTCTTTTCCTCAGGGTCTACTTTTACAATGCCTTTTCTGAAACAACTTGGCAGTATTTTATAAATGAACATGGTTGCTGCTGCTCCCTGGTTAATAATAAGAATGGTTGGGAAGATGGGGATGGTCTCAGGCCTAGCACCAATGCAGCAATTCCAGGATGACCAGCCTGTACTAGCAAGTGCTTCCCTACTAACTGGTGAAAGGACCTCACCCCTCTCCCCAGTACTGACTGAAGAGGCAGCTTTGACATGTGTGGCATGGTCAAAAGAACAGCTTTATTTTCCTGATTTAGGCTATGGTGATTAAGGCTGCCTAGCAGATGCCCCCAAAATACCCAGCACATGATTTGCCTACCTTATTAGTGGCTTTTCTTTTTTTTTTTTTTTAATATTCCTTTTGGCTAGCATTTCCCCCTTACCTTTTCTCCATCCCAGTCTGGTGTCAAATAAATAACCTGCCAATATTAATTACTACTTCATCTTTGATTCAGTTGTGCCACATCGATGCTTAAATCTAGTTTTCTTATACTGTTACCTGGGTCATCATGGCCATGTGGTACTATTGAAGGGGTTACTTAAGCTCTGTTGGCTTTGCAAAGTTCTATTTCCCAGAAGGTCTTTAATATTCCCTTCCAATTGTCTGAAGCTTGGTTTGATCTCACTCGTAATTTCCCTTAACTGCTTGTAGAACTCTGCCATCAGAGTTCTGTCTGTGACTTGTCAGCTTCTTGCATTATCTGTGATGTAGAAAGCCACTGGGCATCCTGTTCAGATAGTTTGACCTCCAGCCAGGGGCTAGTCAGCAGTTTAGTTACTTGCTTGCAACAGTTAATTCTTGCATGAATTGCTTGGAACAAGAAAGACATGTTTTATGCTGTCTGCCTTTAAAGAGGTGCAGATTGACATCTTAAAAACATACCTCATTAAGACATCTAGTCCATGGGGGAGAGGCTTTCAATCCCATCAGGAAAGAGGCTAATGTACTTCGTGGACCTTGTGTGGATTAAAAAGGCTAAAAACATTTTCACAGTCACTATGTGTGACACATAAGGAAGTGTACATCTGGCAATGGGATATCCACGTGACACCAAGTACTCTTAACACTGAAATTGCTTTCCATGATTCTGCCGGGAATACAGTAATGTATAGATTTAAAAAACAAGCCATCTGAAAAAATCCTAGCCTTTGCACTACATTATGCACACATGCTATCATGCATTAGCATATATAGTCACTGATTAAAATAGGATTTGATAAATTAACTGTAGATTTATCTTTGGCTTACTTATGACACTGAGTAAATACTTAGCTTTCTCTTTTAAGCCTGTATTAAACTTGTGTAGGTAGCTTGGCTTGATTGTTAATAGAATCTTCTATAGTTTGAAATTGCTTCCTTCTATACTATCATGTTTGATGTAACTTCAGGTAATAGACATGAATGACTATCAGAGAAGAAGATTTGCTTCCCGCATTATTGACAGCTTGTTCAATACTGTTGCTGATAAGAAGATAGCTATTTTAGGGTTTGCATTCAAAAAGGATACTGGGGACACAAGGTAAGAAAGCAAATTTTGTTCATTAATGTGGTTTCCCTCCACTTGTCACTAGCTACACAGTTAACTGCCCCAGCTGAATTGCATTAATAAAACCAGATCAGATATGGGACCCTTAAACTGTTGTGACTAAGTTGATTTGTAATAAGTATTAGTGTTTCTCAGCTGGGTGAGACAATTGATTCTTGACCTCTAGAGCATACTTGAATGGCTCAGAATCTAGAGCAGGTAACTGTAGTCCTTATTAACCTGTGTAAGCAAAGATAGATTTTTTTTTTTTTTTTCCTGACAGAGCCCTTCTATTCTCCACAGAAAAGAATGCAAATGTTTTTGCAAGCTGTTCTAAATTACTGTATGAAGCCAAAGTTTCAGCTTTGTTTCCCAAAGGTGGTTACTTCTGTTTTTCTGCAAAGCTCAAACTCAATACAACTGTCCAACTGCAGTTTGTGGGGAATGCTTATAAGCTTGGGGCCTTGTTAATTATGGTCAAAAGGTGTCCTGAAGCTTAGTATCTCTCTGGCATGATTCAGCAAGATGGATGTAAACTTGTTTTTTGTATTGCTCTCCTTGATGTCCCTCAAGATATCAAGTTTACTGCTGGCATGGATTACCACTATGATTTTTAATATAAAACTGGTATAAAAGCTCTGGCATTGCATAATATATCATGATACTTGAAGACTTTAATTGCTTACAACATGCCACCTGGTTCTTTGATTCACTTCCCTAGGGAGTCATCCAGTATCTATATTAGCAAGTATTTAATGGATGAAGGAGCAAAGCTCCATATCTATGATCCTAAAGTACCTAAGGAACAAATAATCTTGGATCTCTCACATCTGGGTGTCTCAGAAGATAACCAAGGTAAGAATGCTCATGTAAAGCTTACTTTTTCCTTCCCACCCTACTCTCAAAACACACAAGTCAGGTTAAATACTGTAAATTTATCTTCAGATTTTCACCATGACGATGGTTACACTTATTAAAGATTGTTATAGGTCAGAGGGTTACTGTAACTCTTCCTCCTTTCCCCATAGCTTCTATAGCTAAATACTGATTATGTACTATTGTGGGTTTTTTTCTTTTGATAGCCACTTGAACACATGCAAAGAATTTTCTTTGCCTAATTGAAAGGAAGAGAGAGAATGTCCATAAGTAGAAGAGAATAATGTTGTTCTGTCAGCTCCTTTTGTGTACTGAGTCCTACCTGCTACTGCTGTCCTGGGTTCAGCAGTACCAGTAACTTGCTGTAGTTCTTGCTTGCATATATAAAGTACAAATAAAGAAATAATTCTGGAATTCACTGTAGAGCATTCTTCCCCTGTATTTCTTCCAAATTTGTTTCCTTAAATTCAAGAAGACTTTAAGGTAATCATCTATAACTAGAAATTTCTTGGAGAGACGTAGGGGGAATTTGAGATTTTTTTTGTTCCATTTTCATATTGGAGAGGGGGAGAATAGAGATGATGAATGGGGGAGAAGGATGGATCAGATGTGAAGAGAATGGTGGAAAATGAACTGTGATGGAGTGAAAGGTGTTATGTTTTTTGACATGCCTTTGAGTTAGAGGGGGAACTGCTGAGGCAGTCAGGATGAAGGCAGCTGCTAGTAAGCCATGTGTATCTTTTGTAGTGTGAATGGAGTTAAATACAAACTGTTACATGCTGTGTTGTAGAGGCAGTGACCTTTGTGACAGTTGGTATGTGAACACTCCATAGTAACTTCTAGTTCTAGAGATGCTCTTGACTGTTTAAAACAAATTTGAATGCTTAACTTCAAACACTTAAGTGCTCTGACTGTTCAGATGCTGGGTACTAGCTGCTTTCACTCAAGTAAGGGAAATCAAAGTGATAAAGATCTTGATAGTAAACATCTCTAGGTAAGTGACTTGAAAGTTGGGGTTTGTGTAGGGCAGGAAGAAGACTTGTTTGCCAGTAGTGCAGCAGATTGATGGTTAAGTATGTGTGCAGAACAGAACTTTTATTTTTCCTTCTGTTACAGTGTCTCGGTTGGTCACTATCAGTAAAGACCCCTACGAAGCCTGTGATGGAGCTCATGCCCTTGTAATTTGCACTGAATGGGACATGTTTAAGGTAAATCTTATCTTCAATTTAAACTTAAGAAAAAAAGAGGGAGTGTTATGCTACTGCTTTATTCTACCTGCTTTAATTGCCTTTTACAGGAGTTGGATTATGAACGTATTCATAAGAAGATGCTGAAGCCTGCATTTATCTTTGATGGTAGGAGACTTCTAGATGATCTTCACAATGAGCTACAAGTCATTGGCTTCCAGGTAATCAGCTGCATGACGCTGCTTACGTTTCTGTCTGTCTGCTTTCTTCCTTCTTTTCTCTCCTTCTGCAGTGACTGAGTAGCAACTGAAAAAATCCTCTTCTAAACCTATCTATCTGTACTTCAGTCTCCTCATTAGCACTGTCTTCCTCCATTAATTACCTTACTGTTTTCATAGCTTACTGTGTTAAAATCCAATCTGCATCAGACTAGGATGCTTATTCAGTAGTATAAGCATGCCTTAGAATCACAGAATCTGGATTTTTAGGTTGGAAAAGAGCATTGAGTTGAACCAACATCTGAATGCTGTTCTGCCCTTTGGACTGTGGAAATCATGCAGATTGAGATGGATGTAAAAACCTGCTAAATATCATTCTTAAGTTCTAGATAACCAGCAGGATAATTGCTTCCAAAACTAACCCCTTCACTGTTTCCTCAAGTCCTGCAGTCTTTGCTGCTACCACCCATCAGAAGGGCTGAGCTTAGCATTTGCTGTGTGTTATAACCTGTGCCACACCCTGTACCTGGAAACTTATTTGAACATCACCAGATGAAAAAGGCAACATCTAAAATTGACAGTAACAGGATAGCAGAGTATGCTTCCTTCAGAAGTAAATGGAAGCTGTAAGCACCTTTTCATTCTTCAGAAATGACATAAAGCAGGTTTACCTACAGTTGCAAGGTGTAGTGCAGGTAACATGCTTACCAGCCAGTGAGATCCTCCACTTGGACAGATTATTAAAAGAAGCTTTGGACTTTCCCTGAGTTCTGCACAAGCTGGCTGCCGCTGGACTTGAAAGCCTTGTATGTGAAGATGCTTCAGCATTTCACTGACTTATCTTCAGAAGTGTTACATGGGAAGCTAGAGAGGACTGATTAATGTCAGCCAGAAGATCAAAGCAATGGTCTGTGTTTACATCCAAGAGAGGGCCCAAAGCTTCTTAACTAAGCATTTTGCTAAGGTAATAGCAAATTATGTATCAAATTATAACCCATGTGATGTTTTTCTGAGGAGCTTTTGTGGGTCTGTGTCTTCAAAGACTTCCCAAATAAGAAGCTCTGTTTCATAGCTCTTGGGTAACTTTTATTTGACATTCTAGTTGAATTTTTAACCAATTTGTGAGTTTGCTTTCCAGAATCCAGTTTGTCATCCAGGTTTATTATCTGGATTTTTCATCCAGAATGTCATTATGAAGACATTCAACAGTTGACCTATATTTTCTGTGTGAAATAATAAGGATTTTGTCTTAAAAGGGCAGCCCCAAAATCTAATTTTCTAGGTACCAAGTCTTTTTAACTGCCCGTGTTTAAAAACTATTGTATATACAGCCTGATGCCAATAGCAATTCCATTACATACACTCCAAATTCATGGATTTGAGCTGTTATGTTGTGGGGTTTCTTTTATTCAACCTAGAGTTTAAAAAAACTTTAAACACACCTACCATTTCAATTATAACCTGTTTCCACAGTGAAGCTCAGTTTAGGGAATATGAATGTGAAGCTCTGTAATTATAGGTGAAGTAATTTCTGGTTTGGGAAAATCTGCTCAGATTTCAAGTAGAGAATGCAGAGTGAGCCTTGATTGCAGGGCTTGAAGCACTTCTAGCGTAGACAGAATGTGACTAATACTAAAATCACCAAATCTGTGAATAACCTGCATCTCACCTAGACACAATTGGAACAAAATCTACAAGCCAGATCACAGAATAAAACGTGTTTTATTCTGTGTACTCCTGAGTATTGTGATTACTTGCATAATGGCTACAGGATTCTTTATTGATGGATTCTTTATTGATGTTTTTTCTCCTGCTTAAACTATTCACTTATTTACACTGTTCATGAACAGGCTTGTATAAACTGATTTAACCAGCCAATTAAAGCTGTTACGGGCAAATACAGTACTTACACCTCACATGACTGTTTGAACAACTCTTTTCTAGAGTTCACTCAGATGTCTGTCTAAAATATATTCATCAAAATTCAGCGAAACTTAAAATAGCTGAATATTTCTTTTGGTGTTTTGCATCTGACCTGTCCTCCTTGAGAGGAAAGCCACAGATCTCCTTGCTTGCTGGGTGTCTGAACTGTTTTGTTACTTGGTGTTTTATCCTCCACAAGCTCTGTCCATGGTGATTTACATTAGTCTGACCTAGAAATTAGGAGAACCTGTCTTGCTCTTTGAATATTGCAGTGCCTGGCTTGTGTGTGTTGGCTTTTTTATGTGCTTTCTCTTGTACAGAGTTGACTGCCTTTAGCCTTTTAGAGTTGTGTTATTTCAAACACAACCCACTACATTAAGGGGGGGGTTGGGAATCTATCTGAATTTACTGGATATAATTTTTTAGACAAAGGAGGCTGAACTCACATCCTGTGAACACTCAGAAGCATTTTATGATTTCTGTTCTGATAGTCCTATGGAAGATGAGGCACATGAATTTTCAAATTAGCAAGATGCATGCAGCTTTAAATAGGCAAAGCAGGCACCTGTGGAAGGCTGTGTTTAATAAAAACCTTTTTGCAACTTCAATCCCAGAAAAACTGTCCCTGGGCACACTTTGCTTTGTGGCTTGTATTATTCTAGTGTCATGGTCCTGAATGTGATTTATAGTTTTCCTCATAGGCCAACATGCTCAGCTTAGCTTGCCACTTATGAAATGTGTTTTTCCTTTCAGATCGAAACAATCGGGAAGAAGGTGTCAGCCAAAAGAATTCCTTTTGCATCCTCATGTGAAATTCCTAAATTCAGCCTGCAGGATCCACCTGTCAAAAAGCCAAGAGTATAATGTTTGATAGGTGCTGAAGGAATTCTGTGGACCTTCTTAGTGATAATAACTGTAAGCCTATCCTTTTTTTAAGGAAAGATATTTTCATAAATGAAACCAATTTTACACTAGAAATGGTACCTGGTACATGTGAATTCAGTCTAATTTCAAATCTCTATTTTTATAGCTTTGTTACTGAAGGATGGTACAAATCTGTTTTTAATAATTAATCATCTTTTAAATGGAGAAGTTACCTTCAAACTGCAGATTTCTGCTTCTGGAAGTGTTCCTAAACTGCACTTTGAATGTTTCAAATTATATGAAAACAAAAGAAACGGTATCATTTTACTTCAGTCTCCTTATGGAGAGTGATCAGGTAATTCTTCACCCAGTTAAATGCTTGCTCTTAACTGGCATTGAAGTAAAAAGTGCTAAATGAATCTGGCAGGATTTGGGTTGAGCCCTAAAATAGAGCTGACTGCAACAATAATACCCCTATGCAGGTTCACTTTTTCTTAACTTTTGATTCTCTAGTTGTCTTGCCTACATTCCATGTGCAGCTACATAAATTGTTGATGTAATCAGATTCCTGGGGCAAGTCTTTCCAATACAACCCCTCTTCAGTAGAGGAGCATTCTGCTTGTTTGAACATTCAGTTTAAGCAGAATTACCTAATTTGGTGTCAGCCCAAGCAGAAAGCAAATACTGGCTTTGAAGCTACCTGATGGCTCTTTTTTGTTCCTTTCTGCTTACATACTTCATCTGAAAGCAGCTTTCTTAATGAATTTGCAAAAACTATTCCCTTCTGTTAAATTATGAAAAATAAAAATTCAGCCCCATAAATTAGTCAGCTTGCTACCTCATTTAATTAGCAGGAATAAATACTTCCTATCTTATCTTGTTTGTTTTTTTTTTTGCCTTATTATTTTATTTCTACTTGTTTTTATTATTCTCAATTGGCCAGTGAGATTAAAATACTTGAGATGACAGAGTTTGCATTTGGCTTGTTGCATGGGGTTGTGAAATGGAGGGGAGGATGGAAGAGGATGACCATGAACAGGTTTCAGACTAGAAAGCGTAGATGTCTTAGCTGAATAATCATAGTGTCGAGATGTTGGAGAATTATCCTTTAGCTAGTCATGTAATACCTTCTGAATTTATTCAATAGATGTGCCTTCAGTTATGCTGTATCAATGGTTAAACAGAGCACAAGATCAGTGTTGTCTTCATAATGAGTACTATTAAACTATTTACCCACAGAAATGTAGTTACAATTTAAGCTTTAGGACAGATATTTGAAGATTTAAGGAGCTTGTATTATCTACTGAAATTGTTACTCAAAACAGTGTTATCTGACTGAAATTGCTGTATCTTTGAACCAGGTGCTTTCAGATTCTGCATGTTAATGGTGTCCACACAGGGACTTGCTATGCAGTGATCACTCAGCACTTTGAGCAAATATGCCTCAGGCTTTTTGTCCCATCTTTCTATGAGGAGCACATCAGAAGCCACTCAAAGTGAGTGGGAATTGCGGGGGCTTAAAATCAAAGATGTCATCTTTCATCATGCATATCTTCCTGATTCATAAGCTGCTTTCATACAACACCTGCAGAGCAGGGACAACTCTGTGATACAGTTGTAGTATTTGTAAGCATTGCAATCCAACTGGTAGATCGCCCTGTCCTTGCAGGTGGGCATCCTCCTGAGCTACCTCTGCCCCTGCAGCACCTGAGAGGGGAGGCCTGTCACCTGTCCTTGCGGTACTGCCAGGTTCTGCTCAAAGGATCTCTTCTCCTGAATTGTGTTCAGGGTAGCACAGCACTGCTTCAGGGCTCATCTTAAGAGGGAGGGTGAGTAGAGGCTCCAGGAAATTGGGATGTATTTCAGAAATGCACACAGCTGCAATAGTGGTGCTTCTGAATGGGAGCTGTCCTCATGGTTTTGAAGTAGATGGATGAGCTGCTAAGCTCTTGTTTGAAACATTGCTCCTATTAGGAATGTGCAAGGCTGGTCAGTTTTCCTGAGGCATCAGGAGATGGAGGAGCTAGGCTCTATACTCCTATTCCTGCCCTGTTTCTCCTGCAGACTTAGTCAAAGCCCAGATAGTAACTTGTGGCTTAAGTTAGAAACACTCGGCAAGTTCGTGCTAGTGGGATCACTAACCCTTTTAGGAAAGGGGGGAGCAACAGATCCTTTCTGAAGGGCAACAAGGGGTAAAACTGGTACTGGCCCTTCCCTTACCTTCTCAGTCAGCTTATTTAGTTTCTTGGTGACTGCATTCTTTCAGTTCACCACTGGGTTTGTGGAATGAATTCAGTCTGAACAGTTTAACAGTAGAGCATGCCTTTGGGATACAGCAGTACTTACCTTGCATATGCAAGAGAACCTTACCACAGGCCGAAAGAGAGAGCTCCAGAAGCTTTTGTAGCACTATAAATCATAAGCCATCCTCTTCAGGGTACAGTTGCCAGGGAAGTAAGTGGAGGTGACTTTTATGCCTGCTTTGAAGGCTTGAGTAGTGCACATAGAGATGGGGTCTAATGCTATTGAGCCTTTGTCTATAGGATCTCACAGCAGGTAATTCTTGATGAGAATTGTGTAATGGGCTCCTGTGCTCTGAAATTATTTTTTATGGGGTTCTTAATAAAATGCAATCCCACAGCAGCACTAATTTTTTTTTTCACTGTAAAAATGGGAATACAAAGCAAATCCAGCTTTAATACAAGCCTGTAAATAGTATGATACAGACTGTGTTAATTAAGTCCTACCAAAGTCTTGCCAAATTGACTAATTGTAAATGCCAGGCAAGATGTACTGTTTTACTTGTGTGTCTGTGAAAGTAAAACTAGTCTGGGGCCACGTACATGTTGCCAAGAATATTGCACATGAATAGAAGACATGCATTTTTGACCAACACTAGTATAGGAGTGGTCAGTGGTGAGATTTTTATACTGGCCAACAAGTTTACACTTCTCTCTGTCAGCTGAAGTTCTTGTGCTATAGTCTTGCCCAACAGGTAAAGTTTAAAATGAACTGTAAAATAATGCAGGGAAATGAAACAGATTATCTGTCTGATTTAGGAATACTGGAGTTGGTTCTCATTACTTTTTCCATTACAAGCTAAGAATTTCCATTACAAACTGAATTTCCATTACAAGCTGCACATCTGCAGTAGGTTGCTGCATGTTGTAGTAAGGCATAAGTACTTGACATCCTTTTAAATGAAGGGGACACCAATATTACTGATCAAGCAGGAAAAAAAATTAAAACTATTCTTAAATGAACCCTAGCTTTTGATTTGACCTGAAGACTTGAAGCCACTGAAGATGCGGTTCTTTAGTTGCGTAACATTTAATTAAGCTTCATATGGTGTAGTGGATTGATGCAGTGATGCTAAAAAAGGCTGTTCCTTCTTTTAAAGCACTGTGTCAAATTGAAATCATATTCCCAGAACTCAATTTGATGTTTTTCTGATTGCAAGGAAGATTAATGTTTCTTAAAACATTTTATGGCTGCTTTGTTAAACAAACTGACAGAATAATGTGATTGACATTTTCTTTTTGTATGCCACTAAACATGAAACTTAATCGGAAACAAAAATGAGATAGTCATGAAACCTGTGCTGAATTTATAACCAGGAGTTCTGTGAGACGTTAGTGCTTTAACATGGAGTTGTGGAAAAACTGAAGGGGCGATAGCAAAGGAAGATGGTTGTAAAAGCAGGATTTCTTAACTAGGAGAAGAACTTCAGGGCTTGTCCTCAAATGTTCTTTTAAACAAAGCACCCCTCTAGTTTATGAAGTCAAAATGTGGCTGCTTTCCTTAGAAACCACAGCAAAACATGCAGTTAGAAAAATAGCTTATGTAGCTTCTGAAACTTGGTACCAGCTGGCAGTTGTGTAAAAGCCTAAGATCAATGTATAAGATAATTCTAAGATGAAGTAACACTGGACTGTATTTCCAGAAGCATTGTTTCTCTCACTGTAAAGAAATCATGGATAATTACTGTGTTATGTTTGATAATAGCTGTATGGCTCAGAACTCCTTTATTTTTCCTGTATTTCTGGCGTTGATATGCTGAAAGAGCAGTAACTTGGCAAAAGCTACACTAATACTCTGTTAAATCTGCTCTGTAAGCAAGCCAAAGCAAGCATTTATAGTAGGACCTATAATAAAGGCTGACAGATGTTAAAACGTGGGTATCCTGGGATTATTGTTGCACCCACCCCTCCCTCCCTGCCTGCTGTGGTGGAGGGAGCAGTGAATTCCCATACCATAGTTGATAACCTTCCATGGCTCTGTTATTCAGGTTACTTCAGTTGAAGCAGGGCATTTTTTGCTCAAAGCATGACTGGTTCCAAACTTTTACTTATTTATTAAAAAAGCAGCCTTGCCTTTCTCTCTGCCTTTACAAAGTACAGCTAGTGAGACTCCTTTCTTTGTTCTCCCCCCTGCCCCATTCCTCATGGCTCAGGTTTCTCTTCCCATAATTTACACTGTTTAATTAGTACATTTCTTCTAGCTCAAGGCTACTTGTCTTCATAATGCTTTACTATTGCTGTAATTCATTTTGTGAAGTCAGCTGTACATCACTGGCCCAGTCATATCATCTGGTTTTTGTTGTTCATGACAATATTGAGTCTCTTTTCTATACTAAAAGCCGATAAGCTATTTTCCTTCTAACATTTTGCTGAGCAGGGGGTGGGTGGAAGGTCCACTCACTTTCCTTCATACAGGCTACAGTTAGTTTAGTTACAGTAACTTACCACAGCCAGCCCTAGGATTACCTGCATGATGAGAGTTTGGGGCCAGACAGTAAATTGCTGGCATGTTTCCCAAATAACTTCATGAAGATAGAGCTGAAGCCAGTTCAAAATGGTATCTCGTGGCCACAGCAAACAACTGAGAATTATTAGGCAGAGATGCACTTTGAACTATCATGAGTGTGTAGAGAAGAGTTTGCAGTTGCTACTGTACCACGAGCCATGGCTTTATTTCTGCTTGAGCTTCGTAGGTTTCACATTTTATCCATGACACAGTTCAGCTTTAACAGCCAGACTCTGTCTCAAGGGGGCAGGTCACCAGACCCCTCAAACACAGCACCACACCCTCAGACTGGGTTTTTAACTCTCCTT